AGTCTCAAAATGGAGGCAGATATACAGAAGGAAACAGAATTCAAGTGCAGAAAATAGGAATCACAATGGCATTTGTGATTTAGAAAATTTCATGAATTACCTGAATGAAGTTTGGGGGTTTTTTTGTGTTGCCACTTTTTTGACATTTAAAAATTTAAGTTCAATAGTTGTCATATTTTAGTCTTATTATAAAAGCAAAATCTCAACATAAAATATAACATAGAAGACATAGATAGATCTCTCCTATGTGTGTGTGTGTATCCCATCTTCATCTCTCATTTTATCTCTCATCCTTATTCTACACTCTTCCCTTCATCAGTCTGTTTTGCATTAAAAAGTTTTTGTTAGAATATAGAAAATGTACTGAAATATATATAGGCAGTGTGTGTAGTGGAAAAAGGATTAGGAGTTAGAAAACCTGGGTTTTAGCCCTACCTCCACAGCTTGTTAGCTGTGTGACCAGGGACATTTCCTTTAAATCTCCCTGAGCCTTGATTTCCTCATCAATAAAATTAAGTAATACCACCTGTACTTGCTTACCTTACAGGGTTGTTGTTGTTGTGACAACCAAATGAGAATATGTATCTGAATGTAAGTACTATGCAAGTGTGAGATATTATTACCTTGAAAATGAATTTTTATAGCTGGTTGGGGAGTACCCAAGTTCCCTCCAAAAATATAGAAATTAAAGAAGTAGGGATTTCTGCTAAATGGGGAAAATGTGAAATTGACTGAATGGGATCCTTGTGAAGAATTCAGAAAAATATGAGAAGACATAAATTTACTTATAGGGAAGTAAGCAGAACTCAGAAAAAGTACATAATGACTACAATATAAATGAGGGGGGAGAACAGCAATAATAAAAAAAAAAACCTGAACACCACATAATTATATTAATGAAGCTTTTCCCCACAAAAGAGGTAAGAAAATGCACCTATCTCCCTTCTTTAAAGAGGTAGGGGATTGTGGGTGTTCTACATGGCATATATCAAACTCATTTGATGTGTTGGTTAGTTACATTGAGCTACTTTTTTTTCCATTATTTTATTTTTTGTTACTAGGGGTGGTTCTCTGGGTAGGGAAGGGAGGAGATGCATATTTGGAAATGAAGGATTACCTTTATTATATAAATAAAATTTATATTATATAAATATAAATATCAATTTTAAAGAATTCAGAAGGCAAATACTAAAGTAATAATGCATCATCAAGCAAATTTCTTATGGTTGTTTTGAATTATCCCCCCAAAGTCCCCCAAAGCACCATTGTTTCCAACCCACTCACCTAATTATTTTTAATTATGTTTTAAAAATTAACAAGCATTTTTTTCTCCCTCAAACCCCCCTCCTAGGGGAAAAATAGCTTTTAAAACCCTTGTGACAAATATACAGTCAAGCAAAATGTGTTCCTACATTGGTCATATCCAAAAAATATGTGTATTTTCCTGCATATTTGGTCCATCCCTTCTCTGTCAGAAGGTGGGTAACATTTCACTATTATTCCTCTTGAATTATGGTTAACCATTGTGTTGATAAAGTCCTTAAATGTTTCAAAGCTATTTTTATTTACAAAGTTGTTACCTTGTAAATTGTTCTTTTGGTTCTTCTCCCTTCACTCTGTATTAATTCATGCAAGTCTTCTTAGATGTCTCTGAAAGGATTTCTTTTTGTTCCTTACAACACAATAGGTGGCACAGTGGATAAAATGTTAGGCCTGGAATCAGAAGACTTCCTGAATTCAAATCTGGCCTCAGATAGTTATTAGCCTTGTGACCCTGGGCAAGTCACTTAACTCTGTTTGCCTCAGTTTCTCCATTTGTAAAATGATTTGGAGAAGGAAATGGCAAACCACTTTGCTCTCTTTGCTAAGAAAACCCCAAATGAAATCACCAAGAGTCAGATACAACTGAAAACGACTCAATAACAACAAAATAGTTTCTGTTATACTCAGATACATTCAAGTTTATTCATCCAGTCCCCAGTTGATGAGAAAATTTCCAGTTCTTTGCTACCAAAAAAAAGCTGCTATGAATATTTTTTGTACATACAAGTCCTTTTCCTCTTTTTCTGATCCCTTTTGGAAATAAACCTAGTAATGGCATTTCTGAGTCAAAGGACATTCACAGGTCAGTAACTTTTGGGGATTATTTCCAAATTTTTTTCTAGAATGACAAGACCTCATAACCATTAGATTGGCAAAGTTGACATAAAAAGAAAATGATATATGTTAGAAAGTGCCTTTTTTTTTTTTGCCAATCTGATAGGTATGAGGTGCAATGGCAGAGGAGGTTTAGTTTGCATTTTTTTACTTATTGATGATTTGGAACATCTTAATGTGGTTAATGATAGCTTGGATGTTAAATAAAACTAGAAGCTGTTTTTAAAAAATAAGACAGACCATTAGCTAATCTGATTTTTTTTGAAGAGGTGAATCAAATTATCACTTTCAAAAATGAACAGGAGAAATTTACAAAAAATGGAAAAGGAATAAAAGAAATTATTAGAAATTCTTTTCACCCAAATCTATTTCAATGAAACTGACGAATATGTATAAAATATGAAATGCTGAGATTAATAGGACAAGAAAAATATAATTTAAATAACCTGCTCTTAGAAAAAATCAACTGAACAAGCCATCAAAAATACTAAAGGAAGAAAACTCAGGATCATATAGCTTTAGAAGTAAATTGTGTCAAATATTTAAAGAAAAATGAATTCCTGTCTCACACAAACTATTTACAAAAGTAGGAAAAAGAACTTTTACCAAATTTCTTCTTTCATACAAACATGAACTTGATACCTAAACTGGAGAGAATCCAAACAAAGAAAGAAAACTATCCCTAATGAATATTGGTGGAAATTTTTGAACTAAAATATTAGGAAAGAAGCTATAGCAACACAGCAAAAGATTGTACACGTGACCAGGCTGGATTTACACCAGGAAACTATCAAAGTAATTAACCATGTTAATAACTAGAACAATAAAAATCATATAGTTGTGTCATTAGATGCAGAAAAGTCTTTTGATAAAGTAAAATATCTATTTCTGTTCAAAAAAATTTATTGTGTGTCTCAAAAGTCTTGGTGCAATTTTACTGCACTAAAACCAAGGGGCCACATTACATGTAAGGGAGATAAACTAGAGTCTTTTCTAGATTAGGGGTAAAGTGAGGATGTCAGTTGTCACCACTATCATTTGATGTAGAGCTAATAGTGCTAGGTATAGTAATTAAATAAGAAAAAGAAATTGAGAGAATAAGCATAGGCAAAGAAGAAATAAAATGATCACTTCTGGAGATGATTCGTGGTGTATTTAAAGCTAACTCAAATAGAAATTGGGGTCTCTAATCTATACATAAGGATTGCTATAGGTCATATATTAACTTAGTTTTAAAATGTAGTCTTATTTATGTTTTATTGTATTTTATTTATTTTGTTAAATGTTTCCCAATTACCATTTAATTTTATTAAGAGGTACTTGGGAATGTTGTAGAAAGTATGTGGCCTACATCTTGCATATTTGACCCCTCTGACTTATAGAACCTTAGAGAGTCAACTAAACTTTATTGAAATGAATTCAGCAAGGGGCAGCTAGGTGGTGCAGTGGATAGAGCTCTGATCTTGAAATCAGAAAGACCTGAGTTCAAATATAGCCTCAGACACTTGATACTTACTAGCTGTGTGACGTTGGGCAAGTCACTTAACCCCAATTGCCTCACCAAAAAAAAAAAAAAAAAAAGAAATGAATTCAGCAAAATTGTAGGACATAAAATACACACAAATCACCAGCATTTCTATTTATTACCAACAGGAAGAGAAATCCAGCAGGAAGAGAAAAAAAATCCATTCAAAGTTCAGAAGTTATACACGGAGAAAATCTTTAGAAACAATTATAAAATACTCTTTACAGAAATAAAGACAGACCTAAATATTTAGAAATATTAATTTCTCTGCTTAAGCCTATGCCAATACAATAAAAAAGTGACAATGTCACCTAGATTAATTTACTTTTTCAATTACATACCAATCAAAATACAAAGGGATTACATTATAGAGCTAAAAAATAACAAAATCCATCTTCAGGAATAAAAAGGTCAGGAATTTAAAGTGAAATAATGAGAAAGGGTGTTAAACAATTATCTCAAACTATACAATAAAGCTATAATCATAAAAATTATTTGATGTGCCTAAAAAATTGAGAGGTTGATCAGTGGAACAAATTTGTTATACAATATGCAGAAATAAAATTAACCTTTTAGCTTTCTGTTTAGTAAACCCAAAGATCTTAGCTATTGGTGGAAAACTCAGTATTTGACAAAAATTGTTGGGAAACTTGAAAGCTACCTGGCAGAAATTAAGTCTAGACCAGTATCTCACACCATATACCAGATAGGAGTTCTTAATAGCTATGTGGATTAGACATAAAAAAGTCAAATTATAAACTAAGTGGATGAACTTATCTTTAAGATCTGTGTATAGGTGAAGAGTTCATAAACAATTACTGGCCACCCCAACTTTAAGTCTCATCTTTTACTGGAAGCCTTCCCCAATTTCTCTTACTCCTAATGTCTTCACTCTGCAATTATTTCTTTTTTTATCTTGTATATAGATTGCTTTGTATTTATTTGTTTGCATGTTGTCTCCTTCATCGAATTGTAAGCTCTATGAGAGTAGGAACCATCTTTTATATTTTTTAATAACAATGTAGTGCCTGCTCCATAGGAGACAATTAATAAATGTTTAGTGTTTGGTTGATTTATAAAAACAAGGGATAGAAAGGATGACAGAAGATAAAATGCACAGTTTCAATTACATAAAATTAAAAAGATTTTTTTCACAAAGAAAATCACTATAACAAGTAATTAGGGAAAAATTTGACAGCAAATTTCTCTGATAAAGATATGATTTCCAAGATATATCAGGAACTGATTCAAATTTGTAATAACAAGAGCCATGATCAGTTGGTAAATGGTCAAATAGTTCTTATGTTTTCTCTAATAGGTAATCATGTAGGCATCTCCAAATCAACAGATGTTTTTGCCTTTGATGAGGACAGCAGCAATGATGAACTCTCTCCAGAACAGACACGAAGTGAAGACTCACAGGGTTCTAATAGTTTCCCACCTGACACAAAAGCCACACAGGCCTCTTCATCTGCCCCATCAGAAACAACTCAGGTAAATAAACAAAATCCAAGTTCCTAAATCTGTGGTACTTTCTATACCATAAGGAAAAATACTCCAGAATCTCTCTCAGCTGAAAAAAGTTTATCAAAAAATTCATTTTAGGTTCCTTTGACATTTCTCTTGATGTGATTTAAAACAACTAATTTTCCTCATATATTTCACAGACCAGTTTGATGGCAATAAAAGACCCCACAAAACCTTGAGTCTATCATATTTATAAAGCACTTAAAAGTTAACAACTTTCAAGTGGAAATATTATTCCTATTATGCAGATGAAGAAAGCTAATAACAAGGAAAATTTAGGTCACTTGTCCATGGTTAGCAGTATGGATTCAAACCCAGGAGCACTCTTTCTATTACTCTACCTCCTTCTTCCTAGAAAAAAATGTAATGCTTTTTGTCCTACTTCCGTAAGGGAGACCAGAGAAGAGAAAGTCATAGAGAAGTATAGGGGTGAAGCTGTCATAGTTACATGAAAGGGCTAGTGTGTGGAAAGATGTTGTATTATAGTGAGTAATAATGGATCCTCTTTGCATCCTTCAAGGCACCCTCGTTTCTCCTGGGCTTCTCTAATGGGCTGGTTGCAACACCTGTCCTGGAATTCTGGGCTTCAAAGTCCCCTTAGCCTCAGCTTCCACCTCCAGGACTTACTCCCTGAAGTTAGAACTAAAGAAGACAAATGAAACAAGGTCAAAACTTCAGGCCCATTTCTTGGAGCCATGAGGCCTAAAAGGAAGGGAAGGGAATCCTCAGGCCCTTCCCTGCAACTTAATGCATGGTATCCTTGCTATGACTGAATGAGTCCTTCAAACTTAAACTAGACAGGAAATAGAGAGTAACTGTTCTTCAATTAGATGGATTTAAAGATGCAGTCAGGTTCAAATATGGCGGCCAGTGGAAAGAAGCTCCTTCCATCCACATTGTAGGCCATCAAGAATGTCCACACACTTACACTAGTTTTTCTGTCTCAGAAGCAAGTTTTCTGCAATTTTCACGAGAGGCCCTTCATCTTAGGGGATCTGGGCATAGGTCAAATCCATGTTAAATAATTGTAAAGTGGGGCAGCTAGGTGGTGCAGTGGATAGAGCTCCAGCCTTGGAGTCAGGAGGACCTGAGTTCAAATCTGGCCTCAGACACTTGACACTAGCTGTGTGATCCTGGGCAAGTCACTTAACCTCAATTGCCTCACCAAAAAGCAAAAATAATAATAATAATTGTGAAGTATCATTATATAATAATAAAACCACTCAATTTTGAGTAAGAAAAATGGTTTCAAATCTTAATTCTGGCATTGCTTTTGTGACCCAAGACAAGTCATTTCAGCTCTTAGGACCTCAGTTTGATTTTGTTTTACAGATGAAAAAAACCTTAAGTCCCAAATGATTGAGGAATTAGGGGCTAAGGGACATTGAAGGAGGAAGAAGAGAAAGAGGAGAGGGAGATAGAGGAGACGGAGGAGGAGGATGGGAAAGGGAGAAGGAGGAAGAGAAGAGGAAGAAGGAGGAATAAAAGGAGGAGGAAAAGAAGTTAATAATAACAACAACCTATGCTCTCTGTTATTATTTTCTACTGAGGAGAGAAGAGAAGGCTGCAATGACCAAGCTTCACTCAGAGAATCTACAATTCAATCTTCATTCAGATAATGAAATATACCCCTCTCGTAGAGGGGTGTTAGACTATAGGTACAAAATGAGACTTCTGTTATGAAAACAGTGAGAACATACTCTTCTTTTTCTTATGATATTCTGCTGAGAAAGAAGAAAATAGGAGCCTGTAAATGATCAATTTTAAAATGATCAATTTTAACCCCATTGATATTTCTTTGCATGCCCCTAGTTGTTAGGTAGAGATGGAGAAGTGTCCTTCAAGGGAGCAGAAACAGAGTGCTTTTGCCAACTTTAGGGTAAAGAATGTTGCATTTTCCTAAAACAGCAGGCAGCACTTAGCTGAAAAGCATCAGCTAAATCTGAAACTAGAAGTGATGAATACTATAGCTGTTTTTGATAAGTTAAATCCAAGCAAGCAGAGGAACAACTTGAAAGAAGAGAATCAAAGAAGTTACCCAGCATCTTGACTAGTTCAGTTAAGATAACATATCCAGTGAGATATTTGTTGAGTTCATTGCAAATCAACTTAGTTCAGCCTAGAAGCTTCAAAGCAGAAGTCTCATTCATCAAGGAATTTTATGGATGGTTACTAAGGCAGAAAGAGGACACAGGAGTTTATAATTCTAGTATTGTTCAGCTAGTCAATGAGCATTTATTAAACACTGTGTTCCAGGTATTGTGCTAAGCACTGAGCATAGAGAGTCTCAAGGAGTTCATTCTAATGGGAGAAACAATGTGAAAAAGTATATATAAGCCAAATATATTGGGGGTTTTCCTGATTAGATGGGCTTTCCTCATTCCTATTCTTCTCCGACAGGTTTCTGTGTGTGCCCATTCATGTTTTTCTTTGCCAGTTTTCTGTGTGTGCCTACTTTTCACCACAGATACTAAATATATTTTTGTAAGAGTATAATACAAGTTTATATGTGGACTAAAATGTATTTGTTGTTTCTGTATTTGCTTTATATAAGTAACTGTGACAATGATTATCATTATCTTACTTTTTTGTTAAGACCTAATGTAACATCATTGAGAGTAGCTGGTTTTGTATAAATAAAAGAATGCCATTGGTTACTCCAGAGATACCATAGTGATCAGGAGGAGTGTATTCCTCCACAACAGGGTTAGCCCTAGGACCCTAAGAGAATTTGAGGGTAGCCACATGGTAGTAGTCCCTCTCTGGAGGCCTAGTGCTGCCAATGTAAACACAGGCTAAGTTGATCAAGTCAAACCAGAGAATAAGTAGGGGATCCACACTAAAGGCACTGCATGCATGAGTTACACAAAAATAAAATGGATGTAGCTAGAATAATTGGGGGGGGAAAGCTAATAGAAGGAATCTCTGTATTAAACACCTCTGATAAAAGTATAACTAACATACTGCTGATGGAGATATGAATTGGTCTAGTTACTTTGGAAAACAAAGGAATTATGTAAAAACAATGTAAAATTCATCATCCCAACTACTGTGTCTACTGGATCAATACACCATAGAAATAATTGACAGCAAAAAAGTTCCATTTGGTTTATCTATATACATATATGTGTGTGTGCACGTATATGTACATGCACACACACACATATATGTATATATGGTGTCCCGAGAGATTTAGTATAATTTAAGCTTTAATGTATGTATTTAATATATGCTTATGACAGTACTATTTTTAATACCAAAAAATGGGAACAACCTTTTTCCAACAAGTGGGTAATAGTTGTTATCCATTTTATAATGTTGTATAAGACTATAATAGCATATTACTAACCTTAAGGAATAATGAATATTATTTAGATTATATTTCAAAAATTCAAAAAATATGGGAAAATTTGAATGTGCTAAAGCAGAACAAAGGAAACATCTAAAAGAAAATTGTATACAGTGACAACCCCATGTAAGTGAAGACAAGATTAAATGAAATCACAATTTGAATCAAGTACAAGAATGTATTTGACTTGTAAATATATGGCACTAACTTATTAAAATTAAAGCAAACATGAAAAATAACTAAGCAAAAAATAACCTTTAAGGTGTAAGTATACACACTATGAGTCACAATCACACTTTTTGTACTATTTTACTTAACTTTTTATCCATTTAAAAGCTAGACATTAATCAGGATTTATAATACTACATATATGTGCTATTTCCTTTATTTCTTGATTATGTACTCAAAGAGAAAACAGAACCAATTTTTCCACATAACACAAAATACCACCATTCTCATGGGAGCAGCTACCAGAATTACAGACATAATACCTAGGGGCAAACTCAAACTTAACAACAGCTAATATTAAAGTATAAGGGAAATCTGAGCCAAATATCTTGTTTCCATGACTAACCACTTTTGTTCATTCACCAAAAGAAATAAGATATTACCTATCTCCAGAAATCTCTAGGGACACCTGTTCTGCTTACTTCTATTTGAGTAAGCATTTTCTCGCTGTTGAAAAGAGAATAACTTCCTGCAAACCCAAAGTTACCAACAAATTAATGAATGAATATTAAATGATTTAAGGAATCATAATAAGGGTAAAGGAAGGGGATAAGAAGGAATGTGAATATCAGGATATATTCAGTCTACCCAAAGTGAGACATCTTCATGATTTGATAGATGGAAGGAGTACTTAGATATGAGGTGAAGATCAGAATCCTTCAGTCCTGCGACATAGAGAAGTAATGACAAGAGACAAAAGTTCTTTCAAACCACCTGTGGGAAATTCTAAGGAGCCCCCAGTGTCATCCTCTCTATTCCAGAGGGTGTCCAGAAGGATGGAAAAGTGGAAGGATTTTTCTTTGCCCCTCATTACACTATAAACCATTTCATTAAGGTATTGGTTATTTAGAATAAGAAGGCTAATTTGTAGGAAGTGCATCCAAAGCATGCAGAATCAGGCAAAAACATTAAAACAAATATATCAGAACAGCTCATTTCTACTACTCAGCTGTAAGCTACAAACCAGCCCTACCAGCTACATACAGACAGTCACACATGCACAAATACATGTAAACAAACATATGCCTCCATTCTTCTAATACCACGTTTCCTCTAATTAGTGTTTTCCCCTTCTCCTATCCTCCAGATTCAGTGTCTCCAATTCTCTTTATATCCATTTGAGTACAACAGCTTTTCAGGCAGACTGCCTAATTCAAACCCTTTAGGGGAAAAATATGAGAAGTAGGATTAGATTACCAGAATTGGAAGTAGGAGCTATGTTTTAACAATTATGTCATCATATTTCTTCCTCCCCACTGATAAAATTAAATTTTATTTCAGGATCATACTTCTGGCTCTGAAAATGATAGAAATGAACCAGTATCACACTTCATCAATCAATCAGACAACATGAAGCAGGTGAATGGCCCATTGAGCCCACCCATCCCTCTGCCTGCTGTGGTAAAGGTACAGAAATACACATAACAGCTAAATCCAGGCTCACCACCTACCTGTTGGGTCACATTCAGCCCACAGGGTAAAATACTAAAGTTCTGAGCTCAGTTCTCTGAATCATGTCTGAGTTCATGAGGGATATTGTAGCTAGGAGTACTATCAAAGAGATTCATATGGGAGTTTGACTAGATATATTCTGTGGTCTTTCTAAGAGTCTATGATTCTGAGACAAATTTCCCCCATGCCCAAAATTAGCCCATTGAGTAACACCCTAGATTAGTGTGTTTTGTAGATTTAACTCTGTCTAAAGAGAATGTACAGCATAGTTGGAAAGTAAACTGTAGGTGCATGTGAACTTGCTATCAATACAACTGATTCTCCATCACTGCAGATAGCTGGGGTCATCTTGGGATAAGGGTAATTAAGGTGAGAGTAGCTATGTTCAGTCCATCAATAAATTTTTATTGGACATCTACTATATTTGGGAAACTATTCTAGGTACTGTTTTGTGGAGTGGGAAGGTCAGAATAAAGAGAAATATCAGACAAGATCCTTGTCCCCAAGGAGACAGGAGATTTCAATTTTTTCAAGATTAGAATATAAAAGGGGAAATAAAATAACACAAAAAGATAAGTTACAACAATAATTGTTGCCTCACAACCATCAAGCTGCAATGAAAATGCATGATTTTATATTTTCTAAAAATGAAAATCAATCCTTTCTAGTAACAATTTCCATTGGTCCTGAGATTGTATGTATTCACAAGGAAAGTGTTCAGGAAAATACAGGTATCATATTATCTATTAAATCTAGAAAAAGTGTATTATTGGATATGGGGGTTAGCAAAACTATGGGATGGCAAAGTAACAGTGTTAACTGTATCCAGTAAAGTGATTATCATGGCTAGTTTATAAAAATACACAAATTATTTTGAATTTAACTAACTTGCTAAATGCTAATGAGTGATACAGATAGTACAAGGAGAAGAAAAGATCACTGTTACGTAGGGTAGTCAAGGAAGACTTCAATAAAATTCAGTGTTCCTCCAATCAAAAAGTCTGAACAATTGGTGAGGAGAGGGAAAAGGGAGGTATTAACTGCTGTTCTTCCACTTTGGTGCTGTTTATAGATAACATTTAAAAAAACAAAAACAAGGAGACCTAGAAGCTCTGGGCTGGTATTGGAGGCTAGTCTATCATACTGTAGGTACTGAGTTCTGTGGGTGTGAACCTGGGAAGGAAAAAGAACAAGAGAACCAGATGGCAGAGCTGTAGCACTCTTAGTGTATGGTATTCCTAGCTGTCTTTCAGTAGGAAAACTAGTGCGTTTTCTAGGTATATTTCTCCATGATGCATATGTCCCTATAGAGATTGTCACTATCTTGACACAAATCTAATTCATGAATTCAGTTGCCACAAATAGTTAAATAACTTTTAAAAATTATGAACTTAATCATCAACAAAAACAATAAACATGAATCTTAACCCACAAATCCTTAGCCTTTGAAAAGGAAGAATCAAATTAATTAAGAAATGACAAAAAGCAAAGAAAATGTTTTTGTTCTGTGGCCCCTTCCATATCCACTGAGTTCCATCAATTGCGGACTTATTTTCATCTTTCTCTTGTCTTCTATTCTCTCCTCTTCTCTCTTTACCTTTCTTCTCTCTCCATTCTCCTTTTCTCTCCTTTTTCCATTCTCCTTTCTTTTTCCTTTCCTTTTCCTCCTTTCCTTTCATGAATATGTATATAGTTTTGATAGTGCTGATTTTGCTATGCATTACTATGTAAAAATCTTTGCACCTTTCCTTAGGTGTTCCGTATTTATCATTTTGTGGCACCACAATATTCCAATATATTAATATGCCATATTAACCTCTCTGAGTCTCTGACAACTCTCTTAAGTTTGTAAATTATAAAAATGTCATGATCTACATAGGTAAAGAAAATTACCACACTGTTAAAATCACAGGTTTTCAACATGATGTGCAAGAATTTGTTCAATTCTAATTAAACTATACTTTAATTGCTAGATGCTTTACTACCTGTGTTAGCCTTGCTGGATCCCAGTTTCCTCATCTGTAAAATAGAGGGATTGGACTAGATGGCCTCCAACTTCTCATCCAGCTCCAGATCTGTAATCCTATAATCTATGTTCCACATCTAGGTCACTTCTAGTTTATCTTTTTTTGTCATTACCAGTAGGTGGAGCCATAATGCATAAAGGGCTGGGCCTGGAGTCAGGAAGACTCATCTTCCTGAGTTCAAATCTGACTTTTTTTGCTGTGTGACTTAACCCTGGCTAAGTCATTTAACCATATTTGCCTCAGTTTCTTCATCTGTAAAATGAGCTGGAGAAGAAAATAGCAAACCACTCCAGTATCTTTGCCAAGAAAACCCCAAGCAGACTCACAAAGAGTAAGACTGAAATAACTTAACAACAAAGTGGCTATGAATATTTTTTGTAAAGATAAATCCTTTTACTGACCTTGTCACTCCCTTGCTCCTCTAATTCTAATACGTTACATTTCTTATCTAATTCTTGTACTAATTTGGGGCTTACCTTAGTATATGGTGTGAGATGTTGCTCTATACAAAAATTCTACCAGACTACTTTCCAGCTTTTCCAGCAGTTGACAAATAATGAGTCCAAACCTGAGGAATTGAATTCTTTGGGTTTATCAAACATTATTTTCCTATGTTTCTTTGCTTCTGTATGTTGTAAGCCTAATCTATTTCACTGACTGACTTCTCTGTTTTTAAAGCAGTACCAAAAGTTTTGATAATTACTGCTTTATTATTGTTTTAATTAATTTTAGTTGATTTTTTTAGACTCTCTAGATAGACTATTAAATTGTCTGAGAAAAAAGCGATAGCTTTTTCACCTCTGTTCCTATATTTATTTCATTGATTTCTTTTTCTCATATTCTCAAAGCTAGCACTTCTAGAATTGTGTCTAATAATAATAATAATGCTTTACTTCTGATTTTATTGGAAAAGACTAAAGCTATCCTTTGCAAAAAAAATAATTGTATTCATTTATTTTACATGTATTTATAATATATTCTTCCCACTCTCTCCCCAATTGAACAAAAAGAAAGAAAGAAAGAAAGAAAGAAAGAAAGAAAGAAAGAAAGAAAAAAATCTATAAAATAATTTTTGGTAGTTTGGTGTGACACTGAATAAGTTAATTTAGGTAGAATTGTTATTTTTATTTATTAGCTCCACCTAACCATGAGCAACTGATGTTTTTCCAATTATTTATATTTGACTTTATTTGTGTAAAAAGTGTTTTGTAATTGTGTTCATAGAGTTCCTGGGTTTATTTAGGCAGGTAGACTCCTAAATACTTTATAATGTCTACAGTAACTTTAAATGGAATTTCTCTTTCTATCTCTTGCTGTTGGGCTTTGTTGATAATATGTAGAAATGCCTATGATTTATGTGGGTTTATTTTATATCATACAACTTTGCTAAAGTTGTTTATTATTTCAAGCAGTTTTTTACTTGATTCTCTAGGATTCTCTAAGTATATCATCATATCCTCTGCAAAGAGTGATAGCTTTTTTTCTTCTTTGCCTATTCTAATACCTTTAATTTCTTTTTCTTCTCTTATTGCTAAAGCTAACATTTCTAGTACTATATTGAACAACAGTGGTAATAATGGACATCCTAGTTTCAACCCTCGTCTTATTGGAAATGCTTCTAGCTTATCCCTATTCATTTCATCATTTCTTATGGAACAATAATATTCCATTACATTCATATACCATGATTCATTTAGCCTTCTTCAAAAGGAGGACATCTTATTAGTTTACAATTTTTAATTAATATAAAAGGATCTGATATATATGTATATCTATATATACATAAATATATAAATACATATTTGTACATATAAGTCCTTTCCTCTTTCTTTGATTTCTTTCGGGAATATAGGCACATATATAATATCTATCACTATATAAATATATATGTGCATATATGAATATATTCTATATGTGTGTGTATATATATATATATATATATGTTGAATAGTAGTGGTATAGCTGGGTCAAAGAGTACATAAAATTTAGTAAATTTTGGAGCATATTTCCAAAATTCATGGTTCTACCAAAAGCATACTAGTGTACTTGTTTTCCTGCAGCCCTACCAATAATTGTTATTTTTTTGGTAGTCTTTGGCAGTCAGATAAATATGAGATAAAACCTCAAAATTCATTTAATTTTTTATTGTTTTTGAGTCATTTTGGTTGTTTCTGACTCTTTGTGACTCATTTGGGGTTTTCTTTGCAAAGATCTTGGAGTGGTTTGCCATTTTCTTTTCCAGCTCATTTTGCAGATTAGGAACTGATGCAAACAGGGTTAAGTGACTTGCCCAAGGTCACACAGCTAGTAAATATCTGAGGCCAGATTTGAAATGTATTTATTTATTTTACATGTATTTATGTCTCTAGGGCCAATGCTCTATTTTATACAGTTTTTGATAGTTTGGATTTCTTCCTTTGAAAAATGCCTGCTCATATCCTTTTACTATTTATCTATTTTAGAATGGCTCTTAGTAATAATTAGAAGAGTCTTTGGTAATAGTTAGAATAGTTCTTAAGTAATAATTTCAATCTGTTTCTTATAATATTATGATACTGAGAGACCCATGTTCTTCCCCCTTTTATGATTATTACTCTTGAGATTCTTAAGCTTTTGTTCCTCCTCATGAATTTCATTATTATTTTTTCTCTCTAAAATATTCCTTTTGTAGATTGATTGGCACAACACTGAATAATCAAGTTAATTTAGGCAGTTATTTCCATTTTTATTTTATTGGCTGATCCTATCTATGAGCAATTAATGTTTCTCAAATTATTTAGGTCTGGCTTTATTTCTGCAAAAAGTGTTTTATGCTTGGATTTATATGGTTCCTAAGTATGTCTTAATAGATACACTCCTAAATATTTTATATTTTCTGTATTTTGAATGGAATTTCTCTTCCCAGTGGGTTATGTTTATAACATGCCA